ACTGGTTCTGCAGTGTTGACAACTATTGCCATGTATTAAGCATTGCTTCTGCCATGCAGTGTGCGTCAAAACTAGTCATGAGGCTGGCCTGGGATTAGAGAGAAAGGAACCAAACCCCGTGTCTCAGTGAGAAGCGTGGCAAATAACATGATCTGTCTTTAGTCCGCCACACTAGGCTTCTGAAAACCAAATGCCCGTAACCACCCTGGTGATGCTGACCCGCTTTTTAACCTAAATCATAGTATCTCTGTTGGGATAATTTATAGGTTTTTCTTCTCTGAATGAGGGCACTGGAGAACAGGTAGTGTTTCTCCCTCCCATGTGTTTCTAGAGCCAAAAACATACAAAGCACCCAGCAAATGTGGGTCCGATGGATGCACACGTCACATAAGTATTCATGGTTATCAAAACTCGCTATGCAGGTCTCTGGGCGCGGGAAAATGAATTTCCACCGGGCCGGGCGGCCTCTTCTCCCACCTTGTCGCCCGGGATCCTGCTCAGCCTCCCGCCCCTCCGGGTTCCACTCGAATCGAGTCACACTAGCGGAGGCGAAGGAGCTCGGGTCGCCTCCATGTCTGAGGCTTATTACCGGGTGGAGTCGGGCGCGCTGGGACTTGAGGAGAACTTTCTCTCCTTGGACGACATTTTGATGTCCCACGAGAAGAGCGTGGCAAATAACATGATCTGTCTTTAGTCCGCCACACTAGGCTTCTGAAAACCAAATGCCCGTAACCACCCTGGTGATGCTGACCCGCTTTTTAACCTAAATCATAGTATCTCTGTTGGGATAATTTATAGGTTTTTCTTCTCTGAATGAGGGCACTGGAGAACAGGTAGTGTTTCTCCCTCCCATGTGTTTCTAGAGCCAAAAACATACAAAGCACCCAGCAAATGTGGGTCCGATGGATGCACACGTCACATAAGTATTCATGGTTATCAAAACTCGCTATGCATAAGACTCCCCTTGGAGAGCTGTTAAAAATGCACGTAGATTCCTGGGCAAGACCTGAGTCCAGATCCTCTGATTCCAAATCTCAAAGGCCGAGTTTTAGTCTTGGACGCCCATTAAAAAATCTCAGTGCCCAGGCCCTAGGTGAAACTGGACAACCAGGATGATCACATGATTCTAATGTGAGGCCAGGGTTCAGAACCACAGCCCTAGGAGCAGAACCAGTCTAACCTCCCCAGAGGGTTCTGTGGCAGTGTAACCAAATGTCCTCAGTTTGCCCAGGAGTGTCCCGATATCTAGGACCAAAAGTCCCACATCTCAAGAAATCCCTGGTTTGTTGTTGTTGTTTTGTTTTGCTTTTTTATAAACTGAGACAGTTGATCGCTTCAGTGCAGATGAACTTTTGTGGAAAAATATCTCCACATTTCTAAGGAAAGCAATGACTTTTGTTTGTTTGTTTTGTTTTTGTTTTTTGAGACAGGGCCTTGCTATATATTCAAGGTTGGCCTTGGACTCACTGTGTAGCCCAGGCTAGCCTCAAACTCATGGCAATCCTCCTGCCTCAGCCTCCAGAGTGCTTGAGTTACAGATATGTACCACCATTCCTGTCCAAACAAGTATTTTTAAATAAAATAAATACCACGAGTCTGTAGTACAGTGCGACCTCCTTCGGTTTATCTCACAATTAATCTCTTTTGCGTCTTTGCTCTCAGGAACAGAGCATTCTCCAACTGTCCTTCTGGTATGATTGACTTTTTATAAAGGAGAGAGAAATGAAAGCAAAGTTGCAAAAAAGGATTTAAAAGAATCCAGAGGATCAGATTTGTTTTAAGGAACAGTATCTATGGAAGCCTTCAAATGGATCCTTCCAGCAGCTTCCTTCAAAGTTACCATTTCTACAATGATTGGCATATTCTACCCGCCCTGCCTAGGCACAGACGGAGATAGGTGTGATTCCTGAAAGTCCATCTACAACTCCAGCTCACACGCTTACCTCAGAAAGCAAATGGGACTTCGAGTCAGCAAGCAGAATACCCTTGAATCTGCCAGGCACAGAGGCATGTGCCTATGAGCCCAGCTGTGGGGAGGCTGGGACAGGAAGATCACAAGTTTAAGGCCGGCCTGGGAAACTTGGCAAGACCCTGTCTCAAAATAGAAACCAAACAAGGATGGAGATCTGGCTCAGTGGTAGAGCACTTGCTTAGCATGTGTGAGCCCCCGGATTCAACCCTCGGTACTACTCTCCAAAAATAAAATAAAAATGCCTTGTGTTAACTCTTGTAAGTTACATAAATTTAAATTATTCGCAAATTTCAGTACTTAAATGAGGAGCAGCAGATTAGCTGTGTGACCCAGCATACAGCTGAGGATAAAGTTCCAATATAGCAGGACACAGGACAGCTTGAAAGGCTGTTTATGAACAAACCATGAGGATGTCCCAAAAACGAAGGCTCATTTCCTCAGACAGGAGGGCACCCCACTGGTCCTGAACACCTCGCCTCCCCTCATCAGCGTTTCTCAGATCCCCCGTGCATCAAACACCTTCCAAAACGCAGTATAACATCTGGGTTCCTTACCAGGCCCACAAGGGTCTCACAACTTGAGCCCTGCCTACTTATCCACCTGCATTGTTTGCATTTTCCCCAAACACCCTACGCTCCAGCCACACTGAGCCCTGAACAGTCCCTTTCCCACTGTCCACTAAGACCTTTCAGGAGTTCCTCCCTTTATCAGAATATTTTCTCTTCCCAATCTGCTCTCTTGGAGAAGACTTTTTTTTTTTTTTTTTTTTTTGAGAGACAGGGTCTCAATGTGTAGTTGAGACTGACCTGGAACTCACTATGTAGCCCAGGCTGGTCTGGAACTCACAGCGATCCTCCTGCCTCAGCCTCCAGAGTGCTGGGATTACAGGCGTGCACCACCATGCCCAGCTCTTGGAGAAGTCCTAACACCCCTCTGACTTTGCACCTCCTCTGCAAAGCCTTTCTGAGCATCTGTCATGTGTGCCTGGTCTTGGCTGGGCACTGAGGACATAGCAAGGAACAAAGTGGCCATGGTAGAATCAAATGCCCCACTTGGGGCCCTCAACAGCCTCTGCTCTTGTCCACCTCTGTCTCTCTGTTTTATTTTTATTTTTATTTATTTTTTTTTTTTTTTGGTGGTACCAGGGATCGAACTCAGGCCTTTGTGCTTGCAAGGCAGGTAGTGGAACCACTGAGCCAAATCATCAGCCAGCCTCTGCTCTTGTCTAGGGATCTGCTCTGGATTATAACTGTCTTCTCCACAAGGCTACGAGCATCCTAAGCATAGAAGTTCTCTTTTACTCATCTTTGAATCCCTAATAATAAATACGTCAATAAACATTTGTCAGCTTTATTTACACACGAAAGATTCTCCGCACGTTTTCATACCAAGGCCGTACAAGGTGTTGCTGACAGAATCGCGAACAACACACATCCTCCCTGCCCTCTTGGGACTTGCATTCTCTGAGACAAACAGGGCACCTGACTGCACACAGCATATAGGAACGAGTGAATGGATTCGCGAAGCCAGGAAGGAGCATGCACCTCCCTTTCTGGATGAAGGGGCCCAGACCTGGAGGTGCACACGACGGGAAAGGTAGGGGACTAGATAGTTGGGGGATGATGGTGCCCGCTCTTTGGTCCTTCTGAGTACAGAGAAATGTGAAAGGATGTAAGGAATTGCAAAGAGCATAGAGTTTAGAGTCTGATGTACAAGTTTTTCATTCTAGATCTATTACTTATTAGCCATATAACCTTAGGTAAATCTGTTCATCTGTTTACACTTCATTTCTTCATCTTCAAAGTGGGACTGGCACCATTACAGGATTATGACTTACTGAGACAATGCACTTAAACACCTTCTCCCTGAGGCCAGGCTGAGTTGGGTAGGCACTGGGATCTCCTATCACTTGCTGTCTGTGAGTGGGCAGATTCAGAAACACAGGCAGAGGGTCTTCACCCAGCCCAGCTAGGCAGCAGCATTTCCAGGCCTCTTGGCCCCCCTCTCCGTTCACAGCCTCTGCCCACCGCTGGGCTCTGTGTTTACAGGTCTGCCAAGGTGCTTTCAAGGGAGGTGCCAGGTAGGGAGGGGCGTGGCAGGAAGGGGCGCAAAGAAAAAGGAGGGAACCCTGTTTATCCAGGCCCCAGCAATGAACCTGGTGCTTTTTTCCTGGTGATTTTTTCCATCGTCTTCATAAAAACATTTTATAGATGAGGAAACAGGCTCCAGAAATAAAAAGAAGACATGAAACATGAACCCAAGACTCTCTGTGACTCCAAGATAATTTCCCACCATGCTGTCTACTGCCAGCTCATAGATCATTAAATGTTTGTGGATAAATTTCAGTGTTTTGTTTTGGTTTTTTTTTTTATTCCCAGGAACAGAAATTGTGCCATCTGCCCTCTCCCCAGCCCCAGAGAAGCCTCAAACGACAAACAAATGCGCACTATCAATGAATAAGTGAAATCCCTCAGAGGCCCACACCAGGAAGGAGGAAATAAATAAGCGTGGGGGAGTCTCCTTGATGGAAAAACTCGAGGCTGTCGCCCCAGCTGTGGTCTGCAGTGCCCAGTACCGGCTTCGTTGTAGGGACACAAAACTAGGGTTACAAGTGGGGGCGAAGCTCAGTGATAGACCGGTCACCCCGTGAAGCCCTAAGTTCCATCCACCCCCCCATCCCCTACACCCACAAACTGGGGACTCGGGGTTGCCAGGGAGAATGTGATGGACCGAGAGAAAGCAAGCGATTGAATGGGGCAGAGACGGAGAACATTTCCCCATTTCCCTGAAAGCATCTCTGACTCCTGGCCCAACAAGCCGTGAAGTTTTAAAGTGGAAGTCGCAGGGCCCGCAGCAGCCACCCCACGTCACCCCGGAAGGAAGGGGAACGGAGGTTCCCGAGGGAGCACCTCGCCTCCCCGCCTCCAGGCTTGCGGCGCCTGCCCGGGCTTCAGTGCCCGGAGCTCCCCGCCGCCTCCCCGCTCTCCTGACTCCGGCCTCGGTTCGCCCGCCCCCAGTCGCACCTTACCTCGAAGGTCGAGGCAGAGGCGTCCCAGGCAGGTCCAACGAACTTTCACCAGGCCAGGCGCTTCTTCTGCCACCCCGATCTAAAATCGCCCGGAGAGGTTCCCAACCGACCCGGCCCCGGCGGAGGGAGCCCGAGGAAATCCCCTCCCTGCCTTGCGGCGGGGCCCGGCCTGCTCGCCGTCTGGCTCCGCGCTGGCCCTGGATGAATGAGTCCTTCTGCTCCGCCTGCCTGGGTCTGCGCCAGCAGCCTGGGACAGCGCCCTGCTCTCTCTCCTGGGCTGCACCCGCGCCTCCTGCGTCCAACCCTTCCGGTTTTGTTTGGGCCCCTGCTTTCCCCTCCCAGCTCTCTGGGGAAGGCCGAGAAAGGTGGTCCCTGTCCCTCCGTACTGGGTTGTGATCTGGTGTTAAGTCTGACTTTTACTGGACACCGGGCTAGATGCCTGGATGACCGGTGAGCACAGGCTTAGTCACATCCCCCTGGGCTCTGTCCACCTTAGTGATCGCGCCTCGGTCCCTGGTGAAACAGGTTTGCCAGTTTCGCATTGTTCGCCTGGTGCATTTTGAGAATGAGTTGCCTTTGCCAAGTCCTGAGAAGGGAGAGGTGGCTAACACCGGCCCTGCTCTCCTCCTCCACCGGGAAGGCAAGGCATGGCATGCAAGAGGGCCGGAGACACTTGCTCCAGATTCAGGCGGCAGGGATCCCGAAGGGCTCCCCAGTGGGAGGTTTCTGAAACAGCGCTTAGATGAACCAACAGGAGATAGAGGGATCTGGGAGGAGAAAGAAGGGGATAGAAAAAGAATTAAGATGAGTTCTGTACCTGTACCAACTCCCCACAATGAACTTGATCGTTACACACTACAAACGTACAAATAAAAATTTTCTTAAGAAAAGAACTCAGTGAGAAGCAGTGAGCCGTGAAGGACCTCATGTGCCTCACTTAGGGACTCAGACTTTATTCTACAGGCAGTGCTGAGTCACAAAGAGGTTTTGTTTTGGGGCCATTGTTGATTTTGAGACAGGATTTCACCATGCAGCCCAGGCTGGATTTCAACTCACTGTGTAGCCCAGGCTGACCTCGAACTCATGGTGATCCTCCTGCCTCAGCCTCCTGAGTGCTGGGATTGCAGCTGTGCACCATCACGTCTGGCTGTCACAGAAAGGTTTTTAACACAGGGAACAAATTCTCAGACTGCCTTTGTGTGTGCATGGGTATACATATGTGGGTGTAGGGAGTGCTAGGAATCAAATCCAGAGCTTCTCCATGAGCACTGTACCATCAAGCTACACCTTTAGCCTGACTGCATTTTGAATAGACCCCTGGGGTCAACAGCGCTGAGAGGATGGGAAGACTGAAATCAGGAAAACCAATCAGCCTCCAGAGGAGTCAAGCAGTGATAATAGATTGTGTGACCTAGCGGGGGTCGGGGAGAGAGTCAAGTGATGGGCTTAACGAGTAGGAGAAGAGTCAAGGATGAATCCCAGGTCTCCAACTTTAAGAACTAAACAGGTGGATTGTGATACTCAACACCAAAGTAGGGACATCAGGATGGAAACTAAATGGGGTCACAGAGCTTCAAGGGGACCCCTGCAAACACCCTGGGGCCCTGGAAATGGGTAACTGAGACTTTTTTTCTTTTTAGGCAGGGTCTCACTACATAGTTCAGGCTGGCCTTGAACTCATTATGAAGCCCAGGCCGGTCTCAAACTCATGGAGATCCTCCTGCCTCAGCCTCCTGAGAGCTGGGATTACAATAGTGCACCACCACAACCAGCTGAACTGAGACTTTTTGCAGGGAGCAGAGTGACCAACACCATATAGAGGTACAGAGAGATGACCAGAACCTAGTCAAAGTGGCACAGATCAACGAGGAAAAAGAACCAGGAGCACCCAAGGCATGCGAGAGTGGAGAACTAAGATCCTGTCCGGAATGATGTGTTAGCTAGACCAGCGCTGCCTAAGTGAGACCCATGATGGATGTTCCCAGGATAGAGACTGAGCTGTTGCATAAAGTGAAAATGTCTATGAAAAGAACACACACATACACCCACCTACATGCAAAGGGAAAGGAAGGAAAGCACTGTAGTTGGGCTATCGGCAACAGGAAAGTGCTAAGAGCATCAGGAGGCAAACACTAGCAATGCTCAGTTGCAGGATTGTACAGGAAGCGTGATGGTGCACACCTCCAATCGCTGCACACAGTGGGCAGCAACAGGAGAATCGTGAGTTCAAGGCCAGCCTGGGCTACATAGTGAGTTCAACGCCAGCCTGAATTACACATCGAGACCCCGTCTCAGAAAACCCAAAAAAGAGAACTGTACCACATCAGTTCTGCTATCCACATATCCCTGGCTCACACAGATCCCACTGCTATTCCTACCCTCCAACCAACTTCCTGTCTTAGGATTTCATGCTCAACAAGCGGCTTCCTAATTGTGATTTGGCTTCCTAAGCTGTGCATCTTTGGAGAGCAAAGGTATCTGCATACATCACTGTATGCCCCATTAGGGAGATCTTAGAAAGCCAAGCCTGCTTCTTTATTTATCTCTCTATCACAGCAGTCAGAACAGGATTTGGCACTGAGTTTGGATACAAAAATGTGCTTGCAAAACAGACAGAGAAAGGCTGATTGGCTCTTAAATATTTGTAAACTAATACATTTTCACTTAGGATTTGTTCTTCAGTTTCCTATAAAACTCATTAATGTGGATCAGTACTTATGAATCACCTGAGACACTGACAAATTCATGCTACTAAGCATGTAAAATTCAGAGGCCCACCCAGGTGGCGGGTGGGGGTGTGAATTCAACAAGGTCATGTCTGGAGCCAGCGAACCATCTTCTCCTCTGCAGTGGAGATGCCGCACCCACCCTGTCCACCCAAGCCACACTGAGTGATGTCCCCGGAGCTTTCCCACGTGAAATTTCTACAGATGGTTGTATGGCGTTTTCTCCCTGCCTCCAGCACCCCTTAGCTGCTCTGGCACAGATCAGAGGAGGGTGGTAGGACTGATTCAGACTCGGATGCTACAGAGAGGCAAGGGCCTTCCCAGATAACCTTCCAGCCTCTCACCACCCTTTCCCTGAGAGCTGCCCCCAACACACACCTCTTCTCAGGACTTTAGCTACCATATTTGCATTCTGTGGCCAGCACTGGTCACCACAAATGGACCAAGGAAGGAGAAAGTCTGACTCAGGCTGAGCCAATTAGTTTCCTTTTCCCACAAACTTGTCCGGATGGCAGAAAGGCCCTGTCTCTTGAGGGAGCTGAAACTCAAGTGGTAAAGCCTGGGAACTATAGAGGTCCTCACGGAGGTGCAGAGAGCGCTCACCGACCCGTCATAGCACCTGCCACGGGGTATCTATACTTATCTGCATCTGTCTCTTCCCTTGCCAAAGGACATGTCCTGAGATTATGAGTTCCTCAAGAGCCGTGGCCTTCTGTTTTATCTTTGTGTGCATGTGGTTGTGGCCGAAAGCTGACACAAAGTATGAAACAATAACTGTTTGTTGAACGTTCAATCTGGGAAGCCTAGCATGGCTGCAATCCCAAGGTCCAAGTCTCCTTGGCACCAGCAGGGATTTCGCGTGGCTTCTAGCAAGCGAGCTTCTTGTCTGAACCCTGGTCCAGGATTGTAAAACCAAGGTGAGTCTCTGGGCTTCTGCAGGCTGACCACCTAGAAGAGCTCCAGGGCCCTGGGGTGTCCGGCCTCTCAGTTAGAAGCAACAGAAATCGTCTTCTTCCGGCTTCCTAGGGTGTGTTTTTCAAACACTGAGTTATCGCAGAAGTGTCAGATGAACTGCAAATCTGAGCATCCTAACAAGTTAAGCTCCCTCTGGGTTTTAGTATTACATAGACATGCAGTTCAGCCACATAATGAATTTTTTAAAATGTATATTTGGCTTATGAAGGACAACATACTAGCAGGTCATAGAAAATCCAGCACAGGGTCAGGGATTGAGCCCAGTGGCACCCCACCTTCCTCACAAGCCTGAGGTCCTGAGTTCAATCCCTGGTACCAAAAGTGGGGAAAAAAAAATCCAGCATCGCAGAACTAAATGAAACAAAAAGTAGGCTGAAGGTATGGAAAACCTTTTTTTAACTCCATGGCTGGACTGCTTTGCGGAAGAAAATAAGAGTAAGGGCATGTGTGAGCCGGTCACCCTTGGAGCACAGAAGGACCCCCAGGTCCAAGCCTGTGCTTTCAGGGGCCAGGAGGAAGATGGGGGTGGACACAAAAGGCACTGCACAGGGTGCAGGATCTGAACCTCTTCACCCCAAAATCTAACCCTTCATGTGTAAATAAAAAGCAAGCCAAGACCCTGCCATGCTAAGGGGATCGTGGAGATACGGTCTCCATGCGGGAAATCAAGATAAAACTAAAATGATGGATGAAAATTGCATACTGGTGGGGAAAAGATAGAATGACACTAACATGTGTAAGGTTATTTTGCTCTTCACGACAGTAAAGAGATGTAATCATGCTTGAAAAGAATTAAAACTTAGAAAAATGTAATGATTAATATTAAAAACCTACTGGATGGATTATATCACAGACTAAAAATGAAATAAAGGGGGCTGGATTCTAGCTCTAGCTCATGGTAGAGTAACTTGCCTACCATGCACCAGGTCCTGGATTTGATCCCCAGCACATTAAAATAAATACATAAAAGCAGGCATAGTGACACACACCTGTAATCCCAGCACTTCGGAGGCTGAGGCAGGAGGACAGCTGTGAGTTTGAGGCCAGCCTGGGTTACATAGTGAGTTCAGGGCCAGCCTGAACTACATGGGAGAGCCTGTCTCTTAAAAATAAATAAATAAATAAATAAAAGAATGAGCGTATTAGAAGCTAGGTATGAAGAAATTACAAATACAGCACAGAAACAAAGAGACAGAAGATACAAAATAGTTGAAAAGACGGGATAGCTGGGGATTTAGCTCAGTGGTTCTGGCTCCTGCTTCACAAGAACAAGGACCCAAGTTCGATCCCCACTACCCCAAAAAACCAAAAAAGACAGAAGATAATAAAGAAAGTGGGAGGGAGGCAATATTCAAAGAAATAATTCTAAGAATATTCCTAGCCAAGTGTGGGAGGCTGAGGCAGGACGATGACAAGTTTGAGCCTTAGCCTGGGCAACTCAGTAATTTAGCAACTTAGCAAGAACCTGTCTCACAAATAAAAATATAAAGAACAGGGCTGGGAATGTAGCTCAGTACAGAGGTCCTGGATTCAATCCCCAGTACCTAAAAAAAGGGG